ATACAACCCCATTTGCCATATCCTTCTGCTTTGCATAAACATGACCTTCGAAAACCACCTCTTTTCCTTTATTCAATTTTACAAATTCCAATATTACAATACTTTTGAGATACTAGACTGTAATCAGGAATTCAACAAGATCCCTTGTGATGATGAGTGGGAGACCTGCATTCTTCAAACTGTTTTTGTCCACTGGGTTTTTTGTCCGGGGTGGGTTATTTTCCTAGAAACGTAATAAAGAAACTAATGAAAATAAAATTATAGTAGCCGAACACAGAAGAGTCATTAGGGAGCACAATGTTGACAGTTCAGGGCCTGTTGTCCATGCCATAGAAAACTGTTATGATTTTAACAACAACAGTGTCACGGTGATAAATCGACACTGCAACAAAGTGAAACTACTAATGAACGACGTGTGGGCCTAAACTCAAGAACAGGAGCTTATACCCTGGCACTTGTCCTCTTTCTATGACGTGAATTAGTGAAAAATAGAAGGCAAACGCGAAACGAAACATTTTGATATGCTTAAAATGCTGACTAAACTTTCACAAAGTAAACACACAAAAAACATAAAACTGAATTATGAACATCGGTCTCTATCAAATAAAGGCACAGAAACAAGCCTCAACGAAAGCCAGGGAAACTGAACAAAACTAACGATGACAGTATCACTTCGTTGTTCCGTTCCAACCAAGTTCTGAGCCTTTAATATCAACAAAGCGTATATAAATTCTAAAAGAGACGTTTTGAAATATGGAATTCTAGGAAAGAAATTACTATTACCTATCTTCAGGGACACCGATGTTCTCTCTGATCATTTTGCACAAATTTGCGGATAGTTTTCCATTAACATCCGGACAAAGCTTTCCTATCGATACCAAAGTTGCTGATACAGCGGGTTCCTGAGTGCCTCCGAAAATCAGCGATTGTGCCGGGCAAACGTGGACCATTACGCGCTAAACACATAAAACTGGTCGATCACAAGTCTTACCGTAAAATATTACATACAGATT